TATATATATATATATATATATATATATACTCGTATATTAAATATATAGAGATAAATTACTTATTAAAATTTTAGTATGCGTGATCTAGGACAAATGTTTATTTTATATAACTAAAGTTTTTAATAAATAAATATTTTTAATGTATAATTATATTATAATTATTTTTTTTGTAAAATTTAAAAATTATTTAATATTTTGTTACATAAATTTAAAATTAACGTACATTTATAAGAGTTTGAAAACCATTTTATTAATCAATTTGAATATATTTAATGAAGTATCACATAACTTTATTAAAAAAATCTAATCAAAATACAGCTTAACTAAAATAGGTTAATTAATCTTTGGAATGTTTGCTCATTGTCTCAAAATTTATTTGATTCTTCTCATTGTCTCAAATGTTATTTAATTCTTTCACTTTCAAACTTAACTTTGTTTACTCTCTTCATCTGTTTATAATTACGAGCATATATACTAACCATGGTCAAAATAATGTTATTTATTCTCTTTTAGATATTGGTGCAGGAATTTAGGGGGGAGAAGAGAGATATATGGTTCTGTACAAGTGAATTTTGAAAGCATCGACTTTTGAAGGTTGAATGGCTTAATTAATTAGGACTCGTGGATCCTTTAATTCCTTTTTGTGTGAAGTTTGCTAGTTTTTGGCACTAATTTTCCTTTAAAAAAAAAAGCTCCTAAAGTTTCCATCCACTAGTTTTCATAGAAAAGGTGGATTCGGTCATTTAATTTATTTAAGAGGATATCTAACACCAGTAAAGGACGCTTACTTTTTTTGTTTTGTTTAGTGAAAGTTAATAAATGAAATGATATAGATAAATAAATTTATCTCCTCTGTTTAATTAATTTATACAAACTTTCTGATATAATTTTTCTAAAAAATTATAAATTAGTTTATATATAAATTAATTTTAATTTGTAAAAACATTTATTTTATTTTTTATTTATTTTCCTAAAAAAAATGTTTATAGAAAAGCTTATTCAAATATATAATTAATGACTTAAATATATTTTTAGTCTTTCAAATTTAGCGTAAATTTGTTTTTGCTCCCTTAAATTTAAAATTGATGTTTTTAGTCTCTGTAATTTCAAAAAATCTTATTTTAGTCTTTATATTCGAATTTTATTAAAAAATTTATTAAATATTATTGTATAAAATCTACTTATTAGTGCTCCTGTTAGTGAAAATATCACATTAAATCTAATTATATTACATGACCATCTTAATTTATTGATTTCAGATATGTTAGTGGTGAAACTAAAATAAAATTTTTAAAAATTATAGAGAATAAAAATAACGATTTTAAATTTAAGAAAAAAAACAGATTTATCTTAAATTTAAAAATAAAAAATATATTTAAATTATAATTAATTTATGTGTAAATAATATTTCATTACTTACGTCATTATACGTGATTTTTTTTAATCAAATTATCATGATATTTCTAACAAAACAGAAAAAACTTTTACGTGAACCTGCATCATGTAAAACTTTTTCTTTGTACTTCTCCAAACTACATTACATAAAGGAAAATGATTCGGCCTCCGAACATGAATGCTGAAATTCTTTCTGAACAAATAAAATAATAATTTAAATTATAAAATATTAAATAAAATAATTATTTTATAATAATTTTATTAAAAAATATTAATATTTTAAGGATTCGAATTATAATTGGAAGAAATTTTCAGACTTTGTAACATAACTCTTACATAAAATATCAATTTATTGTTATCATATTGTTATCATTATATTTATTGGATGTAAAAAAAAATATTATTATTTTTAATAATTATTTACAACATTTAATATTTTTCTACGTGTAACTAATAGATACGAAATGTGTAAATGAATCTAATATTTGTATAATGTTATTGATTACGTTGGCATGTTTATCTTATCAAAATGAACTTTTAATCCGAAGACAAACACTCCTGATAGCTGATACTCATGCGTGAATAAGCATTTTCAACCCTTTTCTGCAACTTTTTTCCTTTCCTTAACCACTGATTAATGATCAATCAATTCGATTAAGCGCACATGACGAAGCCTAATTGACGTTTTATCCTCTAAGCTTCCCACGGCTTTCATAAGGCTCCTCTTTCACGTTTTCATCCCCCATTGGTTGATACGACGCCGTTCCCTCACACCTTCATAGGTCGGAGCATGGCAGCGGAGCCGGCGAGTGATGACGGATCCGCGCCGGAGAAAGTGATCAGCGGGAGACAAGAATTCTGCGATTCATCAAACGTGTTCGGTACGATTGTAGCAATGGTGCTATGGCTGGGAGCTATTCACCTCAACATTGCCTTGATCTTCTACGCCGTCTTCTTCCTTCCTCTCTCCAAATCGCTATTGTTCGTTCTCTAACACTCTCGTGCTTTTCATTTTTTTTTCCGGTTCGATTTTGTTGACTTTTGGCGTTTCGCGTGTCAGGGTTTTTTGTTTTCTGTTTGTGCTTATGGTGCTTCCTATCGACGAGAAGAGCAGATTTGGCCGAAGATTGTCGAGGTAGTTTTTCGGCTTCGTTACCTTTTTGCTTTTCACAAATCACGATTTCGAACCTCTTGGTGTTTTGGTACATTTCAGGTACATATGCAAGCACGCTTGCAGTTACTTCCCCATCACGCTTCACGTAGAGGATATGAAAGCCTTTGATCCTAATCGTGTTTATGGTTTGTATCAAAAAGTTGTAGAGTCAATTTTCAGAATTATGTTTTTTCTGTTTATGTTACGCGCCTTTTTCCTCGCCTATGATGTTTTGAAAGTTTAGAAAATAAAAATAAAAGCGGAATGGAAAAAAAAAAAAAAAACAATGTTTCCTATTTTGATTTAGGGGGGGAAATTATAAACCTTGGCTTTGCTCTTGGAAGAAAGGGTTATAACTACCAGGAAAGTGGGACATAGATAATGATGGTTTAGACTGTGATTTCCTGGAATTGCTGATTTGTGACAACTGTGAAAAGTTTAATTTTCAACTAAAACCAAAAGCACAGATTAGACAGTAAAATGCTTTTTCGGTTTGCTCTGTAGTGATTAGTGAAGTAATTGCAACATTGCACGGACCCTACATTTTTAGTGTATCTTACAGTTAATTTCTCATCTCTTTTGTCTTTCTTGTTCCTGATGCATAAGATATCATTTTCTTCTTAATTTACTCAGACTAATCTTATTATTATTTTGGTTAATCCCAATTCTCCCTGCTGTGCCTCAGCTTAACGTGCTATCTTGTATGGATCTTTTATTTTTGTTAGTAAATTGCTATAACCAACAAATTTCGTGAGATCGTGAGATTTCTACTCTGTTATTTGTTTTCCTAGTTCAAATGGATTCTTTTTGGCTTTTTGTATGAAATTAGGTCTAACCATCCTTATAAAACTACATATCATCTTAAATTAAAACGTCAAATATGACTTCTAACTATCCTTGTTGAAATAACTTCTTGCTTAACCTTGACATGAACTAGATAAAACATATGATAAAGTTTTAGCAAGCATAGTCTCTACTTCACCTCAGTTGCTGGAGATTTGCATATATTTAATAAGCACAATATACAATATACTTTATATTTCCCCATTGGTAAAGCCTCTTATAATTCCTAAGTCCTATAGTAGCTCGCTTTGAAAGTCAAACTGACTGTTTCTTTAATGTTTCCAGTTTTCCTGGTTATTTTGGCCTCCTGGTTTTGGGTCTTGAAGTTAATTTTGTCTGCAGAATTTGGACTAATAAGTCATTGGTGGTTATACTGTTTACTTGTATTTTCTTGTCCATAGCTCTTTTATTGTAACAAAAGTGTACCCAACATGCAGTTTTTGGTTATGAACCACATTCAGTTTTGCCAATTGGCATTGTTGCACTAGCTGACCACACAGGTTTCATGCCTCTTCCAAAAGTTAAAGTTCTTGCTAGCAGTGCGGTAGGTATAGCTAATACTCGGAACTTTGTACATGTGTAGGTGTTTTACACACCAATTTCATTTCAAGTTTTTCTCTTCACGTTAATGGATAGGTGTTTTACACACCAATTTTGAGACACATATGGACATGGTTGGGTCTTACACCAGCAACCAAGAAAAATTTTATTTCCCTGTTAGCATCTGGCCATAGTTGCGTTTTAACACCTGGTGGAGTGCAAGAAGCATTTCTCATGCAGCATGGCACCGAGGTGCATCGCTTTTAACTCCTCTTACTTAATGCATATGTGATACTTATATTCTTTTGACAATAACATAATGTTTGGTTGGAGGGGAAGGGAGGGGAGGGGAAGGATTTTATAAAAAAAAATTTGTTTGGTTCAATTTTTAGGAGGTGAGGGGAGGGGAGTAAAATCCTTCTTAACCCAATTTTAGCTCCCCTCCAATATTGGAGCGATTTGGAGGGGAAGGGAGAGATTTTAAAACATTTTTAGTATAATATCCAAAATATCCTTATTTATGTTATTAAATTTAAAATTATAAGAATACAAAAGTAAATTGATTTTTAAAATCCCTCTTCTCCCCATGTGAACCAAATAAAAAAAGAGTTATCTCCCCTCTCCTCCCCTCCCCTCCCTTTCCCTCCCCTCCCCTCCTTTGAACCAAATGGACCCTATATGAAAATTTTGATTTTCCTCTAGGTATAGGATTGTTAAGTTTAAGAATACAACAGTTGGTACAGGCAATTTTCCCAGCTATTGTATCAGTGGGGCTCAACTAAGAATTGCATGTCTTTCAAATTTCAATAGTATAATCTTTCATATTGAATTTCTATATAGTCTTAGAGGGTGGAAAGAGAAATGCAGTTCATTTACTTCATTTATGTTCTGGGTTTTAGGATCAATAACCAGAAATCATTCAGCCTACTGTATGTATTTCCTGCATGCTGACATGCCAATCACACATGATGCGTGGCTGGGTGTGATAAATAAAAGCTTGTTGAATTGGTGAGAAAATATAAGATGGTGCTAATTCACAAATATCAATACGCACAGTATATAAATATATTTTTTTATCTTTTAGCCTCCTCCGAGTATGGTTCTTCTACTAAGAAGATACTGTCCAAGAAGCTTTGGTTCAAGGTTGTCTTGAATCTTTTTATACTGTTTAAAAATATAGGAAGAAATGGCCATCCATAAAATGGATCTTTAAGAATGACTTTGCTCTATTCAATGTATATTTCATAGAGGTTAACAACACAACTTGAACTCTTTGCTTTGTAGATTGCTTTCCTTAAGTCAAGAAGAGGATTTGTCCGCATAGCAATGGAGAAAGGCCTACCTTTGGTTCCAGTTTTCTGCTTTGGTCAGGTATTTATTTCCGATAGAATCAGATTTCAGTTTACAGTTCAACAATCATTCCTCCCTCTCTACATTTCTTCTTCTCAGTCTCAGATATCAGAAACCATAGTTTCTAATATGGTATCACAGAGGTTCATTTTTTACTCATGGCTTCCTCCGTGATGGCTTCATCTGTGGTTCCTGTGAAGTTTTTCTCTTTGATTCCAATAAAGCTTGATGATAACAATTTCCTTCTATGGCAACAAGTTGAAGTTGTGATTCATGATGACAAGCTTCAGCACTTCAGGGTGAATCCTTTGATTTCATCCCATTTTCACACAAAAGATTGTGAAACTGTGGATGAGCATATTTTGGGTGGGATCAACAAGACTCTTCTTCTATCATGACTTCTCTCATCTGTCTTGTTCTCTTCGAGCTTGTGTAGTTGGTTTCTGCCATTCTTGAAAAGTTTGAGAGGAAATGCACAATCAGTTCCATGCTTTCATTCATGCAAAATCACATCAACTCTGTCTAGAACATTGTCACATCAAAAGGGCAACAAATCAAACTGAGTTTCTACTTTGGATGAAGTCCATTGCAGATGCACTATTGCCTATAGGAGACCCTGTCTCTCCTCATGATCAACTAGACACAGTTTTGGGTGGATTATCCAATGAGTATGACTCATTTGTAGCCTCTGTTCTACGTTGTCTTAATCCTATTTCAATCACAGAGCTTGAATCCCTTTTGTTAGCTCACGAAGTTCAAATGGCAAAGCACAAGAATCTCTCTCTCACTAAGTCAACCTAGGAGAATGTTTTGCACAAGCTCCAACTTCAGCTCAACCACCTCAGTTGTAGGTGGCACAACAAGCTCAAATATCTGCAATCAAAATCAAACATGAGAGTTGAGACTGTGGTGGCAGATTTTGCCAATCCCATGGATGAAGTAGAGGACACTTTGTCCCTCGGTCTTCATCCAATGACAAATATGTCTCAAGACAGGACACAAAGCTTCCAGCTGTTATCATCAAGAACTGGGACCTCCTCAGACGTTTCACTTTTTCCTTTTGGCTATGGTTCTGCCATATCAAGTCACCATTTCTTAGATACTCCATCTTAATGCCAACATTCCCACAGTTTGAAGTGGTTCCTTCTTATCAGTATTGTAGAAATGCTGACTAAAGTCATGTGCAATCAACTGCTGCAACTCCACAACCAACTCAGACCTTACTGGCTTCGAGGCTCAGACTTAGTATTCAGATTCTTGCACAACCCATCATTTCATTTCTGACCCACGCAACCCAATCTAAAGCACTCTCGTGTGTAGACCTGAACAAGTCATCATGGGAAATGGTTAAGGTCTGTTCATCAAATAAATTGATTCTTTTTATTTTTCTTCCCCTGTTCATTTTCTTACTTCTTTGGTCCTCAACAATTTACTCCTTGTTCCTTACATCACTAAGAACTTGTCTAGCTTGTCATTAGTAAATTTTTCTCAACATGATATCTTGGGATTTCATCCCATCTGCTGTATGTTTAAATCCCAGGACTCCAGTAATGTGCTGCTGGAGGGCACTCTGGGAAATGAACTGTAAAAGTTTACGAATCTTGTCATTCCAAGAGATGGTCCTGCTATTCCTATTGTTCAAAATTCCTGAGTTTTATCCTCTACCTTTTCTCCAGAATATTCTACTGTCTGTATCTCCCGTGTGTAATTTATAGCTCCTGTAATTATTTTGATTCTGCTACACATGTTAATTCACTCACTACACTTAGTACATGTGTGAATAGGCATTGTCAACTTGGACATCCTCATCATGAGGTATTGCACAAAGTCATGCAAACTTGTAATATACCTGTGCCTTGTAATTGTAAAAGTGCCAATGATTTTGTGCCTCCTGTTGTCTCGGAAAGGCCCATCACCATCCCTTTTCCCAATCCACTACGATATACTCCAAACCCTCTTGAACTTTTGTGACTATAGGTGACATTTGAGGTTCTGTTGCAGTAGATTCTTCTTGTGGATATCCACTATGATATACTCCAAACATCTTGAACTTTTGAGACTATAGGTGACATTTGAGGACCTATTTCCCTAGATTCTTCTCATGGCTATTGGTTCTTTCTCACCACTGTAGATGCCTTCTCCAAATTCACGTGGTTATATCTTTCTGTTTTCAAACTGTTCAAGAGAATGGTAGAATTACAGTTTGGGAAGCCTCTTAAATCTGTATTTGGGGAGGTGAGTTAGGAATTATTCACAGGCTAACCTGCCCATATACATATCATTAGAATGGCTCTGCGGAAAGCAAGCACAGTTATGTAGTGGAGACTGTCCTCATATTACTGGCCGATGCTTAGCTCTCAATCCATTTCTGGGATGACTCTTATTTCTGACACCTTCCTCATCAACAGACTTTCATCTACAGCTTTCAACTCAAATTCAACTCACAAGGCTACTAGTCAAATTCCTGACTCCAAAGCACTTTTAAGGTCTTCAGGCATGTCTGTTTTCCTTTTACCAGACCTTACAATGCACTTAAGCTTGATTCTCGCTCAAGGGAATGTGGTTTTATAGTACGCTACCACCCACAAAGGGTATAAATACCAGGATTCCAGTGGCAGAATTTTCGTATCCAAAGATTTAATAATGATAGAATCAGATTTCAATTTGCGAGTTCAACAGTCATTCTCTCTTTTTCACTCTTTGATGTCAGAAACCATAATCTCTAATAATTTTTTGCCCTGATCTCTTGTATTCATGAGGAAACTTTGTACCTTTTTTCCTGACTCTACATGTCAGCTTCATATAAGCATTACTATAAAATGTATCTATGCCAGTTCAGTATCTATTAATGTTATGATTAATGTTACTCATTTCTTTGCTCATACTTTTTTGGTTGTGACATTTTTTTTGCATATACAGTACAAGTTGAAGATCATTATCTTGTATTTTGGTATAACTTTATTGCAGTCAAATGTCTTTAAGTGGTGGAAACCAGGTGGGAAGTTCTTTCTGAATTTTGCGAGGACTATCAAGTTCTCCCCAATATGTTTTTGGGGAGTTTTCGGGTGCGTTTTTCTTTAGTGACAACCTGCGCTTTTCTCATTGCAGTTGTTTTCGCTAGCAACTTTGCTAAGGGTTCTTCGAATAGGAATAAATCTATCCACTATTTTATGCTTGAAAAGTTGAAGCTGAGGTTGTGAAATTGATTAAATTGGAGAAGATGCTAAAAAATATAATAATGCAATTTTAAATGGTGAAACCATACCTTCCTCATTCAAAATGCTATGTGGGTAGGGCATATCTAACAAGGGTATGAGGGGTGAGAAGAGTTAATTTTGGCTATAAGAACTATGCCGGGATCGCAAAGATTTTGTACTTAAATTTAATCTTAAACATTCGTTTTGGGTGTATGGTCAATAGGTCAAGATTAATTCCTTTATGCTCTCACCTAATATGTTTCTTATATATTTATGCTATATACTTTTTGACAACAAAAGGAATTGACGTCTAATATGTATAGGACATGGAAAAAAATGAACAGTTCAAGTTTTGCTGGAAATAAGCTTAAAAATATTAAATGTGATTGGAAAAAGAGGATTTTTTTTTTATTTAACATTAATATCTTAAGATTTCGTCTTACATTAATCTAAATTGACTGATAAATAAATAAAGTATGACAAAAAATTATTTTTGTCAAGAATCAAACTTGGATACTGTCTGAATAATTTAATCTTAATTTCAAAAACAAAAGAAAGAAAAAGGATGGATTTGAATGACGTGTAGGATATATCCTTCAATCAGCTTTTTTAATAACTTGCAAGTTTTTTCATTTTGGTGTTTCATCCTGTATTGAAGACACTTATGCAGCATTCAATAATTAATCTGAGGAGAATAGCCATTTCTTGGTTTAAAAGTATATAGTCTAAAGTCTAAACTAGTTAGCATGGGAGTTATTGTTCTCTGGAATTATTGATTTTACTTTAAAATAAAAAACAGATCTTCTCATCTCCTTTTTCAGATCTCCATTACCGTTCAGATATCCGATGCATGTGGCGGTGGGTAGACCAATTGAGCTCGACAAAAACCCAGAACCATCCACCGAGGAGGTATGTGCTATTGTACAACATTTTTGTTAAATAGGATTCACAAGGAGTCAAGGATCCAGTAATTTAGAACCTCTCCCAGGTTAAAATGCCTCATAAAATTTTATTTCTTGTTAAGACAGTAGTGAATTACTAATTTGGATTAGCACAAATGACACATAACTCAAGTCATTTAATTAAGTGATTAGTTATCGAATTCTCGTTAATGCATAAAATTAAGTTGAGAAAGAATATTTAGGTACTTGTAAACCCATAATTATTCTCGTGAATTCTCGCAATGAAAAAAAAGAAAGAAAAAAAGACAGTATTGAAGAAAAGTTGGACTAATTACTCAAGAAATTCTCATCTTCGCTTAAGCAAGTTCAGGGGTTCGAATCCAGTCTTGTGTATGCAGCCGCGTTAAATCTTGGGGCCAGCTATCCCACCCTTTGAGGTGCCTCCAACGTAGCGAGGAGATTAGTCACTACTATCGGTGGTGGATACTCCAGGAACGAACCAAAAAAAAAAAAATTACTCAAAAAATTCCCATCTGGTTTGATCGTTATCCTGGCTTATCCTTGCTAAAGTGTTCGAGTAAAATGCAATTGCCCTTATATGACAAACTATAGTATTCCTTTTTGGGAGTAGGACAACTACTATCTTGTTATTTTTCTGAAGCTTAGGGTTTACGCTCATGTTGTGATACAAGTTTCTTGAGTTTTTTTTTTTTTTTATGGACATAATTCACACAATATTTTAAAATTAATAATTAAAGATCAATCTATATTCGGTGTAAGACATGACTTTGCCGATCAAATATTATTTAAACAAATGATATATTTATTCAAAGCATTATTTTTCTTGAGTTTATATATTAAACATAATCAATATTGTTTTCTTGTCAATTGATTATTTATTCAATGAAGATTTTATTTTCTGTTTTATTTTATTTAATCAATGATCAAATTTCTTCTATTGACGTAAGGCATAATGGGATTTTACGAATCAATGATTGAATAAGCTTTTTGTTAACTACACTATTTTTATTTTATTTTTCAAAACTAAATTTTTTATGTCTGAATTTTTATATTTTAATCTTCTTTTTTTTTTTGCAAATAAAATTATCTTTCATTAATCAAACTAACTTTCTCAGATATTTTTTAATTTATATTTTTTGTATATATCTCTAAATTCTAATACTCAAGAATCCATACAATCCAAGAAATTATTGTTTGTATACTTTCACAATTAAAGATTTAATTATTATTACTTTCAATTTTCAAACCAAGTCTCTTGTCGAGTAATTGTAAAGTCTATTGTTGGATATGGAGGTTGATCTGATGTTCTCAAGATTGTTTCTTGTTCATGTTAAAATAATATTTGATCTTGTAAATGCAAATTAGTCATTTATTATTTATTTTGAGTCACTTAACCAAAAAACAAAAAAAAAAAAAAAAAGTTATCAATACTACTACCGATTATGATGGGCTGAGATTAGCATAATATGATGAATATTTTGTATATAGGACTTCTTGGTACTGTATTCAGCTGGCTGAATTTCTAACCTCGTTCATTATTTAAACCTGCTTTTAGGTTTCCAAGATACATGGTCAGTTTGTGGAAGCACTTCAAGATCTCTTTGAAAGGCACAAAGATCGGGCTGGTTATCCAAACCTTGAGTTAAGAATTGTTTGATAAGGCCTTAATATGGTCCCATATTTTCATTGATTTATTTATTTATTTCGTTAGGTGTATCTATTAATTTTTCGATATAAATTATATATTTCATGGAAATGCCTAGCCTAGCATTTATTTGGTGGATTTTGTGTAATTCTGTCTGGGAACCTCTGTCATGCTTGCACAATAATAAGAATACAGCAAGCAAATCTTTCTACCAAGTAGGGTGATAATCGCTATATCCTACCTGACTAACTCCACTTATACAAAGGGGGAAAAAGGAGTTACGGTTTTAATTGAATTGAATTTGTAAAGTTAATTGAGTTTGGTCGATATCATGTTTGACAATCTCACACTTGGCCTGATTTGATTTGATTGTATAAAGAATCATTTAATGTAGTACTTATATAAAGGAAAGAAACTTCTGTGATTTATGTTGCATAGAATAAATTATAAACATGTTAATTCTTTTTCATAAAAGTAACACTCGAGGAAATGGTTGTATGAGTAATTCAAACAAAAATATATAGATCTGAGTCAATTAATTGCACTAAAGATGAGAATATAAGAGTAAATATGATATTTGTAAGGAATATAATAAGTGGGAAAATATTAAATTAACATTCTAAAATTTAAAGTTAATGTTGGAGCAAGGTGGAATCAAGGGAAAACTATATGCAATTAAAAATTAAAAGGAAGAAAAAAATTAAAAAGGTTAGAGACAAATATTACTGTATGAAATTTGTATATAGGAGTAATCGAGCAATGGTACTGGTGCAAGCAAAGTATGAGTAGACCCGCAAACCCGACTAGATCCAATCATAAAAATTTCATTTTGGTTTAGACTAATGGGTTGGTTACTTAGTTTGTATTGAAAAATCCAACAGACTGGGTCTCGAGTTTGAAGATTTAAATACCAGTGAACCCAAATCCCCACTAAAACTGGTTAGGCATAATTAAAATATATATATATATATATATATATATGTTATAAAAAAAAAAAACTGGTTAGCCATTCTCTATTAGCAGCTTCCGAACTTCACTACACAGGCCCCTACTAAAATGCATCGCAAGAGGGTCAACCTACATGAATGAATACTAATGCCAATCACAATTCAATCTTTCATTTCTAACTTGATATTTTGTACTTTAACTGATAACTGTAGCTTCTGCTCTTCAATATCTTTCAAAATTGACAGCAAATTGGACCTATAAAATTCACACTTCCTTCGAGCTCGGTCAAGTTGCCGTGTCAACTTCTCAATTGTCCTGTCTTGGTCATCCTACAACAAAATTATATTATTCTTTAGAAACAAAATAGACTTGGAAGATAAGTTGGGAGAGGGATTGGGAATTAGGATGGGATACCAAAAGCTAAATAAACAGTTCATAAATGATTTCACTGCATGTATTAAAGCAATTCTGTTAGGGCATGTTTGGATGAAAAAGTTTAGAGAAGGGAGGGAGGGAAATTTTTCATTATAAGAAAACATCATATAGCAAATTAAATAATATTCACAATGATAAGGGCCCAAGATTTTCTTAACAGTTTTTAATCTTTTCAATTTTTTGAGAACTATCATCACTAATAGAATAAGAATTAACAAGGGTTATACTTAATTGCAAGAGAGAGTAATTTTCACTAGTACTATTGAGTTTCAAATAGGATATCATGATTCTCATCAGATACTGATATCTCTATAGACTTCAGATTTTCTCTTCCTTCCCTGCTCTCCTTTTTCTTCTCCATCATTGTATTATTCACAATACATCTATTGGTATCAGAAATCTGTCCTATATCAACTAGGTTTCAACTAACTTAAGATCATTCATCCTAGCATGTCATTTTTTGTGCTACAATCAGAAGATCATATATACCAAAGGTCCAGTTTAATGGTTATGCTAGATGCAATTGAACATTGAACATTAAATCAACAAAAAACCTTTAGCAATTCTAACTTGCAGGAAGTAGCACAAGACAGCAGATATGCAAACAACGAAATTCTGGAACATGAACATAAAGACTATTGTTTAAAAAAATAAATAACTAAATGCACTGGAGAACTTTAGGGCTTTTTGAAGTCAATCACATAATAGGTTTGTTCTCCAATTTACTTGAGGATAGTTTTGAGATAGAAAATCTCCAAAATTTACAAGGAGAAAACTTAAACAAATCTAGAGTGGAAGCCTAAATCAAAATGCAGTAATTGTTTTTAAATAAAATCACAACCAACGATGCTGTCCATAAAATTTTTGGATCATTATGATTAGTGGAATGGGAACTTGAAAATAACATAACAACATAAAACTAGCACTATTTAAAAAAACGATTAGCACATCAGAAACTCTATGAACGACAAAAGTACAGAAATATTTCTGCAGGAAAATATGGTGAGTATAAATTACCAAAAAACAACAGACCTTATGCGAAGATTGTTGTGAACCAAATGAAGGATCACTACAACTTGTAGTTGCTTCATTGCTCTGGTGAAGGTCTTCTTCACAAACTCCATTTAAAATAACCTGTTTTCCACCATTTTTTGTTGCAAGTGCCACTTTATTCACAGCCTCCTGAAGAGCACTCATTGCTACATCATAAACTTCCAGAGAGGTCACTCCCTCATCAACATACTTACAGGCCTCATGACGAAGATTATTGTATCGAATAGTTAGAGATTCTTGGGCCCCATGTGACAAACTAGTGGAACGTTCTTCCAATATGACACCACTTTTAGCAATCCTGCTCCATCTTTTTAATATATAATGCGATGGTAAAGTAAGAAGATTTGTCACCCTAAAAACAGTCAATATATGTCTACAAACTAGACCAGAAAACTCAAACATCTGGCAGCTACAAGTAGCTTTCATCTCAAAAGAGTTAAACCTCACAAAGTAGGCCTTGTGAATTTCCCCATATCTGGCTACTCTATACACAGTAATCAATTCTTCTTCATCTACTTTGTTTGCCAAGAATGTTAATGTCTCAACCAACTCCTCCTGAAATTTGATAAACAATCTCCTTGTGTAAACTCCTGCTGTCTGTTTCTCCATAGGTGATGGAGTCTTCAGAACCGGAGTAGTGTTAATTGTGTCATAATCAGCTTTAACTTCTTTTTCATGACGGCTCTCCAGAGCCTTCTCATACTGCGTGACAAAAAGCTGAAGGGTTGTTGATGCATTGATATATCCATCAAAATAAGAGTTTATGCTATCACTTCGCTGTGTTATTGACATTTCTGCAAAAAATGTGTCCCTCAAGTACACTGGTACCCACTGCCGCCTATCACCATAAATTGCTTGGAGCCATTCATGTTCCTGGAGATTATACCTATCAATTAGAGAGAACCAACAAGACTCAAACTCCTCAATGGACTCTGCCAGGTTAACACATTTATGGAGGTCAGCTTCAAAATTATGATGTTCAGAAAGCACGTGAGACAACTTCTCCTGGCACTCTTTAAAAATGTGCCACTTACAAAATCGATGACGGGTACCAGGAAAGACATGGTTGATGGCTGCACGAATCACCCTATCATGATCAGTAGTGATTGAAACTGGAGGTCGGCCTGACATTGCTTCAAGCCAGGTTTTGAACAGCCAGACAAAAGATTCCTCAGATTCATTTATCAACAGAGCACAACCAAATAATACAGGCTGTCCATGATGATTTATACCAGTGAAAGGTGCAAAAGGCAATCTATAGCGGTTTGACCTATATGTTGTGTCAAAGGTGACAGTGTCACCAAAGTAACTGTAGTTAGCCCTGGCCTTGGGATCAACCCAGAAGATATTATTCATGCAATGATCATCATCACCTTGCACAGCAAAGAAAAATGAAGGATTCTCTGCTTGTTTGCTTTTCAAGTAATCCACAAGGATTTGAGTGTCACCTCCAAGGGTCCTTTGCCTACTGCTCCTCATATAATTCCTACAGTCACGCTCCGTGAAACCGATATTGCTAATTGCACCATATTCTCTGATTAGAGCAGACATTATTCCACTAGGCCCTATTCCAGCACCCTGCAATGTATCAATCAATGACTTAGCTGGACCTGAAACATGGCGGTGAGAACGAAGGCAATGAACCTTGTCCGGCGGTACCAATTCATGGTTATGTTCCTTGACAAAGGAAGTAACAACCCATCTGCCAGAATCTTGAATTTTCACAATCAACATGGCCTTGCAACCAACCCGGGTTTCAGCACGAGGCCGCTTGACTCTTCCATCAACAGAATGCCTCTCCTTCTCCACTCTAAAACCTTCCTTAGCACATACAAAAGACCTCTGAATTATAGAACCATCGCGCCTGGAGCGTCGGGACATGCTCACCCGCGTACTAAAGCCAACACGGCGAGCATAGGAATTATAAAAGGCCTTTGCAGCCTCTTCGGATTCAAATTCCATACCATGACAAGGTTCAAGATTAGTGTCCCCTCCAGCAATTTGGGGTCCCACACCATCAGCTAGACCAGTAATAGCAGTAGCATGACTATTATCAACATTAACAAGGTCCTCATCATCTTCAACAGAGTGCTCCATGTCAATGGCAACATCATCCCCCAAACCAATCATATCAAACTCAATAACCTCGCTACTTAGACTCAAAGGCTCAAACTCCATTTTACAGAAAACCCAATAATCAAAATAGCATCAACCTCTCACCAAAACACTGCCTTTGTTGAAAAATTAGATAGGAAAAGTGCAAAATACAAAAGGGCCCACACGATCAAACACAACCGAAACAATTAACAAAACACAGCAATCCTCCATCATCATCATTTATGTGCATGAATGATACAGTTTGAGCTCTATTAAACCATCACAAATGGACATGAATGCATGATTAGAATAGCGGAAAGAAGAATGGCCGAGTGAAATCGACATGGAATGAGGAGGGAAAATAACAATTTAAAAATAAAAAAAAAATTGGAAAAGGAAAAGGGCAAACCCGGATCTTGGAAAGGAAAGGAAGTAGATGTTGAAGTTGAATGAAAGTGAAAAAGATTGTGAAGGAGTACTTAATAGTGGGTGGAAGCAAAGTTGGGTTTTGGGTGAGGAGAGTGAGACACAATGAGAAACAACATTTACTGTATTCAAAAGGTGAAGAGAGATTTGAAGAAAAAGCGAAAAATGTTATGACTTGGTTTTGCACTTTGCAGTTACCTCGTCACTTGCCGGGTTTTCAGTGTTTGCTAACATCAACTTCGGTGCGTTTCTCAAAACCCCAAATTACTCTTTTTCTCTCAATTCATTTAATTTATTCGATTTCATATTTCTATTACAAGTTCAATTTCATCCTTTAATTTTTAAAACTGATGTAATATATTTTTTTCAATTATTATTAACAGATTAATTTTGTGTACATCTGAAACAATAAAATTTTAAAAATAAATATTATTTATTTATCTTAAAATTATTGTTAGTGACAAAAAATAATAATTTTATAAGACTAAAATTAAAATTTATTTTAAAAGGACAAAAATAATAATTCTAAATTTTTGAGAGATGAAAAACAAAAAAAATATTGGAATCAAAATCAAAACTAACTCATTTTCTCTTTACAAAAATATAATAAAAAATTAATAATTATAGTTACTTTTGAAGATTTATTTTTTATTTATTAAATAATAAATTTGTTTGTTTAGATTTCAACAAATTGAACAAAAAAAAAAAAGGCTAAAAATCTTCGGAAACAAAATTCCCAAATGATTACTAGGAGAAAAATGAAATTCATCCTTAATTGAGAAGAGTCAAAAGTAATTAAGTCAACATATTAATACCGACTATTTATTGTTCGGCAAAAAAATTGACACACTATTTTGCTTCTCTTAGCACATCCTATGATGAACTCACAAATATTATTAGCTAAAGCATACCTAAATTTACGAAGGAGGAAAAAAAATTGCTAGTTACTACTAGATATTAAACAACAGGTTTTTCAAAAGTACATTTTTAAAACCAAAACTCGGTCATTTGTGATCCATGTTTAAGAACCAAAAAGCTCTAAAAAAAGGAATGTTGTTAGTTGGCAAAAAGCTACCATCTATGATGAATAAGAACATCAAAACCTTCATTAGTAGTCATAGGATTTTAAACCACCTCTTAACATATCTACAAGACAAGTTCAATGAGATCTGATTTTAAAGTAGTCCTAATACTTACAAAAGACACGCATCATTTTCATTTAAAGAACAAAGAATTATACAACAAAGTAAGCTTACATTGCAAGATTTTATATCCTAGCACATTATTATTTTTCCAATCCCAAAGTCACTATAATGAGTGAAGAAAGAAAGAGACTCTTGTTTAGGAATGACAAATATACCAATACCCGCAGGTAATACCCGAACCCGTCCCGATTTTGACAGGAAATACCCGGTTTGACCGGGTACGGGTACGGGTAAAACCCGATATATTAAATCGGGTACGGGTACGGGTATGTACTTACTCGCCCCGTACCCGTACCCATACCTGTCCCGTTCCTATTTTTAATTTAATACCCACTTTCAATTTAATTATATTAAAGAATTTTAATATTTTTTATGTGTGATTATTTATTATAATATAAGATAAAAAAATAACTTAATTATAATTATAATATAATTAAAAAAATAATTTAAAAACATTATATTTTTTATAAAAAATAAAAAATAAAAAATTTGACGGGTACGGGTACGGGTATACCCGATACCCGACGGGGACGGGGATGGGGATGAAAATCACATACCCGACGGGTACGGGTACGTGGACGGAGATGAGTTTGGCTCGCGGGGATGGGGACGGGTATCATGAAACCCGTACCCGTCCCGTCCCGTTGCCATCCCTACTCTTGTTCACACTTATGTTAGCAATAAGTCAATGCTTTAAATCATGACCCAAAAAATTTCCCCAAAACGTAACCAAAGAATGGGGGAAAACTTCCAAAGAACTGGGACATTGGTAAATATAATGTTGGCACCTTCCAATAATAAAAGCAACATATACATTTCCCAAGTGAGGAAAAGGAATGAGAATGACACAAAACATTGGTAAGAAAAGCTTCATATAAGTGAAGTCAAACCATTTTTTTTTTTCTTTCTAGAGCTCAAAACTTCCCTATCATACTCCAATTCTAACTTAGTCTTCCTTGATTTGGTTAAAATTGAAGTAACTCACAAGTGTTAGTAAATGCACATCTTAGTATAGAGGTGAGAAAATTTACAAAAATTTGTAATGGTTTTGAACACTAAATAAAAAAAGGATAATTTATTTTTAATTTTTCAATGATATATGATTTCAAAATTATTGACACACCTTTAACAAGTAGACCAAGTCATACCAATAGTCAATGATTATTTCTACAAGAACTTGCATTGATGTTTAGCACGCATACATATATTTATTTTCTGAACAATAGTTTAAAACAATGATTTACAAAGAAAGATACTCAAATACTACTTAATATAAAGCAAAACAAGAATTTAAGGGTTGAAAAAACTTAGTAAAATTCTTTTTAAAATTTTGTCAAACAATTGAAATACAAAAAATTGATTTAACAAATATGATTAAATATGTTGGAATTACACTTTACCAAATTTCATTATTATGCAACACTAAGACCACTTCTCCATGCTTATATTTCTACTCTTAACATCAATCAATAAGTTAACTAAAATCCTAATCTTTAGGTTTAGGATATAAGGTTTTTAGTTAAATTTTAAATCTCTTAGATAACTTGACTAATGAACTTGCTTTAGAGTTTCGGAAGATGACTAGAAAACCAAGCTTCATTCTTAGATTTAAGGTTTTTTTAGGTGTTTAACTTCGGTTCAAGATTTGACAAGAATTTTCTAATCAAAGATCAAGTCAAGTAACAATTCATGGGCATTGAACAAATACAAGAGATTTGATTTATTTACATCTAACTCCAGCTACTCATTGTTACACGGCAAGCCAAATACAAAGAGAATGAATGAGCAAGAAAAAGACTTCATGAAGCTCATTGCCACCGATATAGATAAGGAGGACAAATCTTAGGGGGCGCACAAAAAACAAAAGTTGATTCTACTTATAAATGCCTTCACTAACCAAACCTCTATAGTATTTTTCATTTTTCCTTACTCCCACCACCACATAACAATTGTTTGAAAAAGATTTTAGGTTAGTATAATACCTTAAAGCGCCTTGGAGAAAGAAAGAGCATAATTTTGAACGGAACTCAAGATTTTACTTCAAAAGTACAATTCAATCATCAAATGGCAAATGATTACTCCACAAAAAATACATTATAAACGTTGTTTTACCTTTTCCACTTTTTTTTTTTTAAGTTGAGCCCTTTCTGGGATTTAGACTCAAATACTTAAAAAGTGTTTTCCTTGTTTACGATTCAAGGCCAACGTTATCATATGCTTGTTTTAATTATTCCTTGTGCACAATTAAAACAAGACAATGCCCATGATATCAGCAAGCAATATTACATTGCAATCTCTATGGTATAAGAATGTAAATGAGTTAAACTATTAGTGAATTATTTAAACTTGACAACTTAAATACTTATTCTAGCTCTTTTATTTAACTAAAATTAGACCTCTAGTAGTGGTGTGAAGTTACAAAGCAACTTCTCTTATAAAAGAATTATATGATTCATACACAGGCCAAACCGCTTATGTCATCTATAGAAAAAGTATTTCATGTTTAAGTACACACATATATACTCATAAATAAAAATAAAATAAAAAAAAGTACACACATATATATTTAGTAAAATTTTCTAAACTGTTGCAGATTTCATCTTTTTGAGGAAGCTTGCCTAAAACTACAGATAGTGTAGGTAGTTCCACTAGCCTGGCTGAAAAGAGATAACTAATATGGCAAAAAAAAATAATCAATAATATCAAATAATAACCATAGCAAATAATAAAAAAATTAAGCCACGATCCACATGAAGTAGGTTGACCAAAGAGTGACCGCAACTGATGCCAAAACATATGTCCATAGCATTATAATAGAGCATTCACTTTCACCAGCTCCAAACAACTGGGCGATTGTGCCTAACACACAGAAATTCGAATAATTATTTCAAAATAAGTTCATTATCTTGAAAAACAGTACTAACTAATTACAAAGGTGAAAAACAGTAGATACAAAAGAAATTAATGGTTCCCTGTCAAAGTCTACGTTATATATAAAACAATAGATATAATATTTTTTCAAAATTTATGAGAATCAAACTCCACACTAAAGAAGTTTATAACAATATAAACCAACCGAACTTAATCCTTGACATATAAATAGTACAATGATCTTCAATTTGACATGTATATCAACATTAACTATGACATTTATGTTGTTAGAAAATATTAATATATATATATATAGATAGATAGATAAAAAGAGATTAATATATTAAAAAAAGAGACCAAATTACTTCAGTAGTAATTATAAAACAATGATTTCACATCCTCATCACTCTAAAAGTCACCCCACAATTGACTATCAATTATGACCTAACACTAACAGACATTTTATGAAGAAACAATTATACAAGTAGAGGTTTGATATATTATACGTACCTATGGCCATAGCTGGGGGAAGGGCATATTGAAGGAGAAGTATGAACTGATATAATGGATCTGGTTGCACCAACCCCAACTGTGTTACTCCTTTAATAACAAGTATACCCAAAATTGGCAAGAAAATATATCTAACTGCTATAATTCCAATGATAGTCCAAAACGAAGTATTTGCTCCCTTCAAGCCTGTTCCATTCATATATATTAAAGAAACAAGTTATTCAAAAGCTGGGAAAGAGGAGAAAAAATATATAAAGCATGGCTATGTAATTAAAAGACTATTGCCTTTAAGGAGGTTTGCACCCATTATAAGGGTTATAACTGGCACGGCGGCTTCACTGCATGTAATAAGATACTGTAAGGAAATAAAATCTCTCTGGAAAATTAAGCTTCAAAGTGATCAGCAATCAAAACCAACTAAATCAATTATATAAAATATTTTTCATAATTTAATAAAAATTATTTTCTCTTAAAACAAATTATTTTTAATTTTTATATTTTCATGTTATAAAAAGTTTTTTAATCCTCCATATATATAAATTAAAATAATTACTTTGAATTAATATATTTTTAGGAATTATTCTTCTATGTACGTAAGTGCTTTTAAAAGTGTTTTACTTTAATAAAAGTTTTTTTTATAGAATTTTTCTTAATCTTTTATATTTTTTGATGTATCCATTTTATTTTTAAAGAGCATCAATAATTAAAAAATAATTTTCTATCACAATATAAATTATTGATCATACAACTAAAATATAACTTATATGTTATTATGTTTAAAAAATTGTTTATTATAAATTTTAATTTATTATTGTTTATATATTAAAAATATTAAAATATTGTTTTAAAAAATTAATTTATTTTTTAAAAAAATTTATACATAAATTTTTTATTGTTATTATATATATACACATTACAAAAATTAAAATACTAATATAATAATAAATTAATTAACTAATTTATAAATTATAAATAAATAAATAAATAAATAAAAACTCACGCACCTCCCCCTAGTGGGAAAGGTTTATCTAGAGGATTCACTTTCATTCCCCCTAATCAGAAACAGTGGTTTCAAATCAGGTAGGTGTATTTTTATTTTTTTTTTGCGTACTTTAAATTTATATTTTTAAACTAAAAAGACGAACACTCACAACCACTCAAGAGGATTAAGTTAAGCAATCCACAAATTATCTGTTTTCAACCTTCCGTAATTTCAAAATCTTAAAAAAAAAGGTTTTTGGAATGCATACCCCAGCATGGTAGCAGAGTCTTCAACCACATGAAGTGGGGCATCGCTGCCAATCATCAATTTACGAATCTGTGGGACTACACCAATAATAAAGCCAACAATCTGCATAACCAATGAAAAAAATAAGTTCATCTTTCACATGGATTGATAGGTGAATATTTTTAAAATAACATAAACTATTTTGGCCACTTTAATCAATGAAGGACCTTATACTTAAAAAAGTATCTGGTGGCTAGAATCTGTGTATCCTATATTACTACTTTGCATCACAGTATTTCACTAATAAAAGTTCAGTTCACAAGGAACTATGGTTGTCTAAGGAGGAAAAAGAACATTGTATCATACCGCTCCAATAGTTGCTGGTGAAAATATGGCTCTGAAACTGGAGTTCACTAAAAGCTTTCCAAATAGTTGCTTGATTTTTACTGTGATTGGTACCTGCAATGGAAAGAAAGAAAAATTGTATGACTCTTATAAGGAGCTTCACTGCTCTTAGGATGCTGATGCATATATAGTTTAATTTATTGAACAGTAATTCTCCTGCATAAGATAGAAGCTCAGATGAATATTAGCATCATAAGTTCTAGGTGATACTTACGAGGATTTTGCAATTTATAGACAACTCATTGAGGAACAAGGATTCAAATCACAATTTTATGTGTTACTACATTCAATTTGAATTCATTTTATGTTTATTGTCAAACACTTGCTAAAAAGAAAAAAATAAGTTAGAAGCAGGAACTTGGCTTTCGCTTTATTATCTACTCTCTTTAAGGATAGGTTGTGATATAGGAATCTAGTAAAATGAGATTTCTGAGACAAACATTATATACAAGTTAGTCCTTTGTAGATGAATTTTTTAAGATCATTGATTAGTATAAAGTATCTTTTGAAAGGGTTATTTGTAGCAACCTTCACTTTGTCTTCAGATTCATTTGAAGAAAGCAGTACGGTGTATGCATCATCCATTTTGTCCTTTGCTGGAGTTTTGGGTTCTGAGGTTTCTTCATCCTGGAGTAACTCTAGTATCTCTCCTGAAGCCTCCAGTTTGAAGGAGCTAGTTCTATAATCTTCTTTGCGGACTATACTTGCGGAAACTCGCATTATGTTGTAGACATAAGTCCATATATAAACAGCTCCAACCTACACTTTCCCAATGAATACCAGTTCAGCAAACAAAAGGGAAACAAATATATATAGCCAAATAAACGTTTTCATTTTTTCCTGCTGTTTTGGTTGGAAAATTTCACATTTATACCCACAATTGTAACTTTAGCATTAGTATGAAAGAAGCTGATATAAATTACACACCGCCATAGAAAGTGAAGCATAAGCCATTCCATATCGATAGCAGACATCGGAGTCTCCAAAAGGACTACCTTTGTCTTTACATATAGCTGGGATAATGATTATAGGCAAGTTTCCTAAATTTCCTGTTCATGTAAGTCTGAAAGATAAGCTCAACAGCAAGATGTATCCGGCAAGAACCTATGCTACAGCTTGAGCCTTAGATATAAAATAAAAGATTTCAAACATAATAGCAGGCTGCAGGACATGACAACAAGAAGCAAATAGTTTTGTGTGACTTTCGTGTCTACAATTAACTAAAGGCCTCTCATTTCATTCAGAAACTGCAGAATATTTGGACTTCCAATTATTGCTTAGTTGCCTTGTTAGAACAATTAGTAAATTTACAGACCATATATGATATTTCAGACACTAAGGCAGCATTTTCATGTTAAGGAAATTAAGATTACGCAGGTACAATATTCATTATCAGTAGGCCATGGAGCAAAGTACTCGGGTGGAGAAATACTAATAACTTACTCTCTAACACACTCTTTATTTATTATTGACCGATATTTGTTGAAAATCACAAAATCCTTATTTCATATACTGCACTCATAGTTTTATAGTTTTCAATCAATTTTAACTAATAAAAAGGATCTTAGGGAACTGCACTTTGGAGAATAAACAACAATAATAACAATTGATTAAAAAATAAACAGTTAATATTATAATTAATTTTAGATTTTATTTTACAAGAATTTGATTTCATCATAAATCTTACCCATTGATTTTATAATTAACAATAGTGAGTGTATTTTATCCTCTAAGGTACATCCATCATTTTAGAAGAGTTGAATCTAACAGAAAAGTATGTCGGGAGGGTGTTGCTAATACTCCTCATAGAATCTTTGGTATTAACTATTCAGCAATAGAATTCAGTGGAAATAAACAGTGAAAGCATGACACGGATTACAAATCTGACTGCTGAATAGAATTCAGTGGAAATAAACAGTGAAAGCATGACACAGATTACAAATCTGACTTCAAGGATTCATTTATGTTTGAAGAGAAGATTCTACCTGCAGAACAGACACCCAATATTAGTCCTTCCAAGTGTTTGGGTGGCCTTGTTAATTTGACAAGGATCCATCCTAAGGCAGAGCCTATTATAAACGTAAGGAGGATATTGACGGGCATGAACCACCTAAATGACAACCAAATATGTCAGAAACCATAATTTAAGTTAGAAAGCAAATCCTCAAATTAAAAGCAACAATTTATGGGATGTTCTTGGATATATGACAAAAATTCTGAATAAAATCAACACTCACAATGAAACAACATTCTCAAAAGTAATCGTGTCCGCCAAATTGCCACCCACCAGTGCTGGATTAAACACATAATGAACAAGCTGTGGCAGATGAAACACTGTTGTCAACAAGACATAAATGAAAACAAGAAAAAAGAGGAAGGGACTTCGTTAAGAGTTCATGGAGTTACATGATTCACTTGTATCCTTGCATCTTTTCCCAATAAATTCACATTATCCAGTGCAAGAAATAAGCCAACTGCGGTGATCATTAGTACTTTGATCACCGGCATAGATGCCACGGTAAAAAGCTCCAGAAACCCCATTGTCACGATACTTCCAAAATATATGTGCTAATTAATCCTGCACACAACGAAGAGACTTCAGTAAACATTTCTTAAGCAGACAAAAGGACAATGTTCACACTCACGCCGATCGAGAAAAATAAAATAAACCAGACGGATATCAAAGAACACAAAACTCAGATCCATTCTAATACTAAGACCACAACAACAACAAATGTTATGACTTGGCTGTAAAGAGCATATTCATGTCATGGAGAGAGGATGTAAAGAAGAACAAAAACTACTGATTATATTTTATATACCACATGTTCATAGACAAAAGAAACAGTACTATATGAATACAAAACAGATAAAAAAAATTTAAAAAAAAACCAGTGATAAAATTGGAGCAAGAAGTACAAGCATATGTTTGCCAATGGCCATATCCTACAAATAGAAAACGCTGCTTGGTCCTATCCGGTTTAATAGGAAGAAGACGAGGTGAAAAAGCACGAAAAAAATATGCCGTGGCAATAATGCCAGCGAGATGACATAGACACTCTAGATGATTGAAATGGGACCATAATATATTATAATAATGTTGCCACTAGTGGCATTCTAATAATTTGAGCTTTCTATTTGTTATCATAGAAAACTTATCTTACCGAAGAAAATTATCCTTTATGGAATATAAGATGTATAGATGAGATTTAGCAAAAGAAAAAGAAGAAAGGTTAATGTTTGTTATTGGTTTAGTAAATGGGAAGAAAAAACAAGACACGCCATTCTTACTTACTTTCTTTGGTACCTGATTGGTTCCCTACTCCCCGAATTTGGACAGTGATTGGAACACGTTTGAATAATTCAATTGAAACAAGGCTTTGGATCTAATGATTAAAGTGGAGAAATGGGTACAGAAGAAGGGTGCAGCTATGAATGATTTGTTTGATTGGACCAAGGAAATTAGAATATGAATATAAATAGAGGAGAAAGTCATGATAGAGTACAGTCACAAGACGGGGGCTCAACTCAAGCTCTGTCAAAACTAAAATATCGGAAAAGCTTCAAAACAACTGTCAGTAAAAATGGAGAGAGAGGTGTCGGAAGCTACTTCTTTGCATAATGTGGATAGATACTACTCAACATGTTTTAGACTTAGTGTCTCTTTTATTATTTCTTTTTTAATCATCATGTCTCTTTTTTATCGAATTCAATTTTCGAACATGACATCTTGAGTTTTGAAAATGTAACATCACATTAACAAAAGTTGGTAATATCTGTTATTATTATTAAATAAAATAGTAATTTGCAGATACATATCACATCATTTTATAACAATATATATATATATATATATATAATATTTTTCTTTATAGTAATATCAAAATTAAATAGTGTTAATAAATAATATCATTCTTTAAGTATGCGGTCAAATATTTGAGTCTACGAAAAAATATTTGATGAAAAAACTAATCTTATAAATGAATTATTTCGAAAAATTATTTTTTAACTTTTGATTTAAGAATACCTTGAAGATATACAATAAATAATATGTACAACAAAATTCATCTATTCTCATATTTATAAATATTTTATTAATAATATTAAATATTATATTAATTGTGGTTCTTTTGTATTTTTTATTTTCATAGTATACTTTGAATGTATATACATTAATATGAAATCAATACATTTAATTAATATATATTATATTTATCAAAGTTAATTATATATTATTGTATTTAATAAATGGAATAAGATTAATTATACAAGAAAAAATATGTTTATATATATTAATAAAATGTCGTATTATTAATATTAAATATTTTTTTTTATTTTTTTATTTTATTTTATTAATATATTAAAATTATCAAATTTAATTACATAATATTTAATGAATACAATAATTAAGAAATTTCTTTCTTTTTATTTTTGTAAATAGTATATTATATTCAATAAATACAACAAATAGTATTATTTAAGGGAAATTTATTTGTTCATATATTTAGAAAGTATTGTATTAATAAATAATTACAAAATAAATATATCTTTCTTGATATAATTCATTTCATATTTAAAGTTAAAATTCAAGGTTTGAATAATTTATTTCTATCACTGTGTATAGAGAGAAAACAACATATACATGATAGGTGATGTAATAAAAAAAATAAAGAAAAAAATTGATAGAATTGAAATGAGAAACAAATGATAATTACAAGTTTTGTTTTTGAATATGAAGAATTTATTCCCGTCATTGATAGGTTTATTTGAAATGATGACTTGTACATCTACACTATGATTCCTTAGGTTACCCTCTCATTTTCACTCGTGGTATTATTATACTAGAACCCGTGAAACACATCCAAAGTTGCATTATTTTTATCCTTTGAAAAATTGGAATGGGGAATCCACTTGGACAAGGAAATGTGCTTTATTTGCTCTCCTACAACTGTGTAGAGACATTTGTCGTATTAGTGGATGAGACTTGAGAGTTGGGAGCGAACGAACCTCAATTCCAACTTTACATTTGAGGAAGCAAGTGGGCCAAAGCTTCACGGATCCACCATTTGACACCAAATATATGTTTGAATCAATCTCTTTTGTCGCTTAATCACTTATATACGCAATGTTAAGGCATATTAAGTAATTGTGGATATTATGTGTAAGATTCTGAGTTGCTGAAAGTATTTTTAAAACAAATAAAATTAATAATAAGTATTATATCTATGTTAAATACAAATTATTATTTAATGTGACAATATTTTTAAGAAATTTTCTTTAATAATATTTTTTTTTTAAATTTAACTGTTTATCTAATTTATTTTTTATTTAATATAATTATTTATAAATTAAATTTTTAATAGAAATTATTTATCATATTTATATATTTAAAATATTAATTTATATAAATTTTAAATATATTTTATATATTCAAATATAATACTTATTTATATATATAATTATTATAAATTTTAGTTATATATCATATTACACGGACTAATATATTAATAAGTAATAAAAACAAAATATAAATATTGAAAACCGTTATAAGTGGAGTTAATATATAATATTAGAGATATAAAATACAGAATTTTTAAATATATACTACTAATTTAATTAATCTAACAAAGTATATTTATCCACTTTTAAATAAGTATACGTCCGTCACGTCACTAAAGTTGTTTCGAGGGATGGATGATCCTCTAATATTTTAATCTCTCCCTCATTAAAAATCGTGTTCTTTAAATATGAATTAATATTTGATTATCAGTTTTTTCATTATACAAATATTATGTCCATAAAAAATTGTTAACGCATTAACTGACGCGGATATAAATTCAATGATGGTGATGCATGCATTATTTTTGCTTACACGATCGAGGATAAGTTGAAACGTAATTCATAGCTGGCTGTGGCTGCCAAAAGGATAATTATTAATGGTCATTATCTTAAGTAATGTACACTGCAACGACTCGTCATGATCTTTATACTTAGTAGAATTGTACTATTATTAATAAATTAAGATAAATATTAAGTTGGATAACTCATATATATAGATATAGGTAAAAAATAAAAATAACTCAATTTTTGTATACAAAATAAAATACCATATATGTATAGTCATCCCAAAAATAATATTTCATAATGTCGGTCAAGTACAAACAAAATTGTTACTTAAAATGGTAACTCTAACACGAGAATCAAACTCTCAGTCTCGCAGCGGTCACCTCAACTCCAAGTTATCCCTGACCTGTTCCCATACCAAGTATGATCATTGCAGTCCCACCACATGGAAACAGAAAGGTAAGTTAGAGTTCAAAAATCAATCATACAAGTACAGAATAAAAACTATACTACACATGCATCCAACTCAAGTCCCAAAGGAACTTCCATCTCAATCAAATCATTCATTCTTCAAACATGAAGTCAAACACCATACACTTCATCATCATAACAATCATGCAATACATGCAACTCATGACAGATATCAATGCATATCAATCATCTAATGCGTTGTCACACATACACCTAGGAGATCTCCCTAACAACTGAACAGTATAAGTGACATCCCATCCTACTAAAACCATCCCAACCGTTTTCACGCCCAATGCGCCCGCTCAGTCACAGCTAAACAGGATATAATCCTCACTCGGGTTTACTCGAATGATGTCACTTACACAATTGGAAGTCCAGATCCATCGTCAAGTATAACACAGCTGGGTACAAGCTTACCACGACCTTGACATGCATTACGAAGTCAATTGTGGAGTTCACCCACTGACTATCTACAAGGATCCATGCACTTCCAAAGTACTTGGTTAAGGGATTAACCCTCGACCTCATACCCTGCTCCAACACTAGCTAAGGACTTAGAAGAGACTCACCTAACCCAGTGGCCTACCTGAGCACCACTCTCCCAAATCCAGTGGCCTACCTAAGCACCACTCTCATATATCAGTAGCCTATCCAAGCACCACTCTCAAGAGACTCTATGTGAGCTCTTCCAGTTCGAAAATATTTTTCCTCTCCTCAAGTCCTAGGCTAGACTCATGTCATAAGGCATCACATGTAATTATGCATCACACATCATACATGGTCTGCTCACCATCATGATCAACAATCATACACATGTCATAAGACATCACATGTAATAATGCATCATATATCATATATGGTCTACCCACCATCATGATCAACAATCATACACATGTCATAAGACATCACATACAATAATGCATCATACATCGTACATGATCTACCCACCATCATGATCAACAATCATACACATGTCATAAGACATCACATGCAATAATGCATCATACATCATACATGGTCTAAAACTTCAACTTTAAACATGCTGAAGCATTATTTCAACTATCACAAATAAACATGTTCACGCCCTGCGCAGCTTGAGCGTACCCGACCTAATCCCAGTCAGAGAGTTTCAAAACTCTCATCCAAACCAACAAATCCAGCCACATATAAACACAAAACACAATGCATAGGCTCCATACGACTCAAAAATAAACTTAAATCTCACATGCACCCATCCGATGCATCAAAATCACCAAAAATTCTATTTTTCTCAAAACCCCGAAAAAAAATGAACGAATTCTCCGATTCAACCATGGATCCTCGACTTTCATGCATCAATTGAGTTTCTAAACTCACATGCAACCTAAACAACAAACATTCTACCTTTCTTTACCTAAAAATTGGCTCAAAATGGCCAAGAACTTAGGAGAAGTAGAATTTCCTTCCAAAGCTCAACCTGGAACTTCAATCCACCCAAAGCAAGCTTTCTAGTCTAAATTTCAAGAAAAGACAGAAGACATTAGTGATTTAGAAGAGAAAAAGAATCATATAGAGAAAATTGGGAGAGAAAA